GATTTGAGTAGGTGTTTTGTTCCAAAAAAATCCTATTCAAATCGAATCTACTCAAATCGAGGGCCCATAGTATATAATTAAAGCTTGGAAGGCTCAGCTGAAGACACTGCAAATGTAACTCTTTTGTCCGATACCCTTTTGACCTTTAGTATAGCCTAACCATTTCATTATCCTAAAAGGTACATAAATAGCCCTAGAAATCAGCTTCTGATCAAAATATGCGTAATCAATCATATGGATCAGCTGAGTCTTCTAGATCACCAACACTGTATGAAAATATAGGATGTGGAAAAGAATGAAGCAGTAAAATGTGTTTATTTTATGTAAATGCGAGAGGCAAATGGTTTTGGTGCTCATGGCAAATTGTGAAGAAGGCATGATTTATATGATTACGACAAATGAGCTTTTTTTTATTTTGACAGACGAACGTGAAGAGCTTTTGGTTAGTTTATTGGGATGTTTTTTGCGTATCTATAGATTGAATGCTGTGGTAGTTTTATTAGGCATGAATGGATCTGATATGAATTATCAAGAGGACAATAACTTTATTCAGCATGGTAATTGGCAAGCCGAAACCTCTTCACGCAATATATTCTATTACATTTGGTGCTGATAGCTGAAGTTATTATGCCACAGAGTGTTTATGCTGATTTATTTGGTTTGAAAGATGGAAAATTGTGGATTTGATGGATGTGAAGCTGACATGTCTGATTTTGATGTTGGATTTGATTTCAATGTGGAGAATTTTAAAGATATGGAATTGATTTTAAATGTGAGATGTCAAATTAAGACCAAGTATTTTTTTTAATCAGTTATTATGGATTTAGGGCTTCATGGCTGCAGAATTCTCAATTTTTGGTAATTTTTAAGGATTAGATAATTTAAAGAGGTAGATGAGGAAGCATAGAAGTAACAAGGGTTGGAAAGATGCGGCATTTGCTTGAGAACTTTAAAAATAATTCTTATGTCGGCTAAGAACTCAAAATATTATGATTTGCAGTAAGAATGACTAGCTAAAGGCAACTTCAATCCAAATAAATACACTTAAATACAAGGGGGAACCAACATGATGCAAAAAAAATATTGAACGCTTCTGCAATCTAAGTTTTTGTAAATAATTGAAAAAGAAATGAAAATTTTATGTCAAAATATTTTTCCAACACGTTGTTTCCCCCTTCAGTAGAATCAAAATCTAAAATATCAAAATATGATTTGCAAAAAACAAGTCTACCCTAAAGTTTTTCAATTATTTTTCCAGCTTGACATTTTTTTGTCAACAAGTCATAAAATTCACTTCCTCATAAACAATTTCATCCTTCTTTTCTGTCACAAAGCTCAACCTGCATTCTATGAAATCTCATTAAAAATATTAGTTTTGCCACCTCTCAACGTGCTGATAGCTTTCACAAGTCATTTGACTATGAAATTAGGAAATTAAAATGTCATTGCGGTGCTTCCTATTCGCTAGATTTGCTATTCAATAAAATATAAAAGTCACTCAGTTGAATGGTCCACAAAATGCTGGTCTGAATTACATTTGATCTAATTTCCAAGTCAAAAATCTTCAAAGAAATCAAGTTGCTTAGAAATATTGTTAAGGCAATTTACATAAATGGAAGTTTAAATTTTTTGGTACCTAATGATAATGAATCAATTTACAGAAATCTTTTGCGTGCCTTAATTTTTATTTTAATTCGTTTACATTTCAAAAAATCTAATTTCCTCTGTGTACCTCTATAAATGGAATGGCTGCTTTTAGGATTGTTTGCATTAAGATTTAAAAAGTTTTCATCCTCTGTCTCGGAAGGATACAAAGTTTTGTTGACTCAAGGGGATAACAACTTGTTGGGAAAAAAATTATTGTTAAAAAACATTTTTCTTAAAATTAGAAACTTTGCTTTTCGATTTTTCCGAGTCATTGCTAGGGGGAATTCAACTCTTTGAGAAAAATGCCTTCAATTTGTTGTTATTTAAGAAATAATTAAAAATCCTAATGGATTTGTCTATGCTACTGTCTGTAAAAATTCGAGGAAATATTTTCCCATCACGTTGTTTCCCCCTTCTCGTGTTTTTTAACCTTCATTTCTTATCTTTATCATTTTATAAATAAAGAATTTTTCCATTCATTAATAAACTTCATGTCATGAACAAAAAGAGCAACTTCTTCCTCATCCTTGGATTTTGGATACAGAAGCGAAATAAAAAAGAGTTAAGAAGCTTCAATCAAGGCGCAATTTTCAACATGACCATGATAAATTGATTGAAATTGCTTTCAATCACTGTAGATTTTCTCTGAGCTGTTTGAAGTGGATTCTCTGCGGTATAAAATCAAAATCATTTCCAATGATCACTTACGAGTCCAATGATTACTTCCTTAACTCAAGCACAATGTTAAAACATTTATTTAAAAAATCAAATCGGATAATCATCAAAAATGAGTAAACGAATGTCTAACGTGACGGATTGAGAATTGAAGGAGATGATTAGACAGAAGCGCAAATGTATCATAAAATAGATAAACATACGGAAGCACAGATGAGCAGTTGGATAGAAAAAAAACTCATGAGTTTACAAATGAATGATTGGACAGATGGCTAGACAATCATACTTACTGTTTAAAAAGATAAATTGAACAAGCAGAATAGCCTTGAGGGTTGATGAATGGATAAAATGTGGACACTACTTTTTTTTTATCTCACGGATGATTCTGTTAAAAAACCAATAGAAATTAAGACACAAAGCTGTTAAGATGAAAGAAGAATTAACTTTTTGTGTGCTGCGACTGTGATAAAAAGAAAGTGTTTAATGAAAGACGAAGCAATAGAAGGGATTAAATCCACACAACAGGGGTTTAACCGTCACATTCATTTCTTTCTTTGCTAGAGCAGTTAATTGTGGGAGATAAGCAATTGTGTCTGAAGCTTTTGTAACAGTTGGAAGCCTAAATATTCAAATGTTTATTGGACGTCATCTTTAAACAACCCCCGATAATGCGCTTTTGATCCTCAAACTAAAGAAAATTCCTATGTCTAATCCCAACGAGAAACAATAGCCGACGAAAAGTTTTTTTTCGGTATCATCACGAAACAAACAAAAGAGAAAGCGACTAGCAACAGCAGCAGGAGTCAAAAAAAAAACTTTATTTTTTTGTTGAAAGCACGGAAAGTTAAACAGTCCACATTTTAGCGAGTTCATTTCATTCATCACCAGCATGAACAAAACAAAAGTTCAGGAAAAACTTGTTTTTTTTTGACTTTTTTTCGAGCAAATATTTTGTTCAAAATGACGAGTAAATTTGTCATCAACAAGAAGAAGCGACGAAGTAGCAAAATTCCATTTTCCTTGTCGTAATAAAAAGAAATTTTCGTGCCTTAACATGGACACCATAAATACAAAAGGAGACGACATAAGAGGATGTGAATAGATGGGGGACAAAAGTTTAATGTTACGAGAAAAGTTTCAACGAAATAATTTATGTATGATAAAGATCCGACGAGAAAAAAGAAGTAATTTCATAGGAAATAAAAGCAGGCCGTAAAGGCAGTAAATTATAATTAATTAAGAAAAGAATTGTGAAGATAATAGAAATGTCAATTAATTAGAAATACGATTTGGTGAATAATTTCTGACCTAAATTGGAGGCAATCACACTTTGCATCATTACTTTTAATAAGGTTGAAGGTTGGAGATATTTTTGGGATTAATTTTTTGGAAGAAACAGGTTTGGGTTAATTACATTCAATTTAGGTAATAACTCATGAAATAATTGGAGAAAGGTGCTGAGTTCAAATAAATTGTTTACTTCTGGATGACACAATAAATAGAAACATGAATAATTCTAATTGTGATTCGAACTTGTGTTCTTTGACTATCGCAAGACTGCTCTTACTACTGAATTGATTACTACTTACTAGACTGCATGATTATTTGGCAGAATAACATATAAAAGCTACAAGCATGGCGTAGCCAGGAGGAGGGGTTTGTGTCAAAACGTTGGGTTTGTGATGAAGTAGCAGGATTTGTCATCCTAAACTACGTCAAATGTTTACACATCAAAAAAAAAAATTAATTAAAAATAAAATTTTTGTGGTTCAGTCTTGGCAGGTTGTTAAAAAATTCACAAAATGTGGTATTGCGGTAGTTCTTGAGAAAGAAAAACAATTTATTCAGTAATGCATCATGAGTTGACAGAGTTGTTTGATTAGATGTGGAAATTATGTCTTGTAAGGAGGTCCTTATCTTAAAAATCCTTAAATAATAAAGTCTAAAGCTTTAGTTGTTCAGAATGGGACTTGAATTCAGGATATTTTATTCGTTGCATGCATTATTTTTCCCTATTACATTTCTGACCATTCCAACATTAACAGAACGCCAACTTTAACTATTTACTTCTATATCAACACTGATCTTGTGTAGCTTTGCTTGAACACACGAATGCTGCATAAACTCTGACATGTACACAAACAATGTGTCTTAAAGAACTGCTTTTCCTTATTACGTCACAGCATCTAAAATGATTTCCATATCAACCCTCCCACAATGCTTTTAAAATTTGTATGAAGGAACATTAAGAAAGTCAAATGAGCTTTAAGTATTTGCATGAGAACATAAACAACATCTTAATAACTCTGTGAGAAATGGTAAAGAATATTTTTGTGCTGTGTGTATCAAGTTATGAATGTATGATGAAATTATGTAAGATGAAAAAGTTAGTCTGTGATATGCGAGGAGCATAAAGAGCGAAATGAAAATCCATTTCATAATAGGTTCGTGTATAAATGATGTCAATTAACAAATGGGATATTTTAGACTTTCTCGCTTAAATTTTCATACAAAATTATATTTTTGAAGAGTAGCATGCAGCTTTGACTCCCAAAAAATTTAACCATCATTTATGAACAACCCCCAAAACCAACAACATCCATTTTTCATGATATTATGAACTTGACAAAGATAAAAAATACGAAAAACTTATTTGTTACAAATTCTTTTATCCACAGATGGCATCGTCTTCACAATCACAATGGGATAAGCTTTCGCCCAACGAGTTCCAACAGCTTCAAGATTTTGCAAGCTGTAAGTACAGAAAAACACAAAAATGCTTAAGTGCATTAACATCAAATGGATTTTCCGCATATTTTTTCATAATCTTCATTCTCTCTTTTGTCCTTAGATTCTTCTAAAAAGCTTGAAGATGTGTTGGATGAATTTTGTGGACCAACATCGACTTATAAGTTTAATCAGGATGAGGTTAGTTTTCTCGTTTATTTTTATTATTGACTTTAATGTCATTCGCTATCTTCCTTCATGACTAGGACATTGACTTTGAAGGCTTCCAAAAGTTTATTGACTTGTTTCTTGACTGCGAAACACCATTTGAGCTATCGCAACATCTGTTCTTGTCATTCCTGCGACCTTATCAGTCACAGCTATCAGGTAATAGTACTTTAAATTGTATGGCCGCAGTTAGTAGCAATGCAGCATGTGTTCCTGTTATATCACATAACACTAGAGGTACTTTACTAATGCTTTAATCATAATCTTTTTTGATCTGTGTAATTAAATTGAATTATTTTATATATTTTTTGGGTGAGTTTTGTGTGTTGAATTTAAAGTTGACATGTTTGACTTATTGAAAGTTTGAATTGAGCTAGATGAGAATGAGCATTTTACCAAAAATTTAAAACGCAAAGCTTGAGCTAATTACTATTAAAATACATAATCTAGCTAACTTAGTAGTGTTCAGGTTTGAAATTTTGAAAATTTTTGAAGTAGATTTGCTAGAAAAATGCATGATTGAACAGTTTTTAAAGTTAATTCAGATTTAAGGCTAAGAATTTCATATCATACTTAATTTTGACAATTGGAAATGTATGAAAAAAAATAAAATTAAATTTTTATCATGCTTTCTTTAATTTTTTGTGAGCTGAAGTGGCTCGGTGGCGGAATGGTTCAATACTTCGGTTCCTATTTATTGCAATACTGATACAGCTATCATGGGTTCGAGACTGGGTATGGGAATTTTTTCACTTGTCCTTTTTCGAATCATATGTACTGAAAATGAGGTTCACAGCCTTCTTTTGGTGGCTACAGGCAGAAATGTCATCAAAGGAATGGCTTGGATTACTATAAATTGTAGGTTTAATTTTGAGTGCAGTGGTCTGGCGTATCCTCACTCGTTAAACTCTCATTAGCTGCAAAACGCCCTAGCGCACCCTTGGATCACAACTGATCCGAATAAGCAAAGCTTTATTTTTTCTATTCCAAAAAAACTTCTACTAACGCCCCTGGTCACGAGGTTACGACATTAATTTGCTAGCGTACTATTAAGTGTAGCTAATGACAGTTTAACGAATCAATTAGGGCACCTGATATTACGACAGCCACAAACTTTAGGAAAATTAAGGAATTTTAAGTACAGAGCTATTTCTGATAGCCTTCTGACTATCTAGTTGCTTTTTTATGACCTTAATGTTCAAGCCAAGTCTACCAGCCAATAAGTGGATTCTGTGAATCTCGTTTGAAGTCCATAAGATTCCAAAAGCCAAAAATTTTCACTAACGAGCTTCGAACTCAAGCCCTCTGTACCAATGTTGCTATAACTGTTTCACAAACGATCAAATTACTTTGCAACGACGCTATGTTGCACACAAAGTGCACTTACTATAAAAAAATCCCAAGAATTTCTCTCGAAATAAGAGAATGTCCTTAACATTGTAGCATTTTATATAAAGCACAGCATAAATCACTTATATCTTCAACAGTTCACTATAAAAAGAAAATAAATGACGTTCAAGATTGAAAATGACATTCAATGAACTTTCTGTGTCGTTTTATTTCAAGATATATTCTAAGAACTTTCACTGCAAAGTTCAAATGCATGGACGAGAAAGTTGATGAAAATGTAAAATGAAGATTTATTGCTGTCTGACCACTTTAAGTTGACTTGACTGTATTTGAATCAAAATAGTGCTTAATAAGCACTTGAAAGTATTCAACTAGTCGCTTGTAAAGCAATACAATCGATCATTGTCATAAAAGCATGTGTACAGAACATCTTGCAGGCTGTACATTGTGAGACTGAACAAAAATGAGTAAAATAAGTTGAACATGCAAAAATTTAAAGCAATTTCCTTACAAGAGCATGCCGACATGCATTAATACAAACATTTTCACATATCAAGATAAGAATGGAGAGCAGGGCGTAGTTAGAGGATTTAAATTGGTGCTATACATCCAAAATTTAAAATTCTTAAAGATTCTATAGAAAATCATCAAAAATGTGCAATAGCATTTAAGGAACCCCTAGCGACGTCCCTGATGACGAGGAATAATGAAAAATATTTTTAATGCTCTCTTGTAGAAGCGTAATTCATTTGCATTATATTAAAAAAAATTTGCTGCTTCCATTCATGAAATAAAAAAACATTTTTTAACCCATTGTGATGCCATTTATTCATGTCATGAAAATTGCTTTAAATTTAAACACGCAAGCACACCATTCATTCAAATTTATTATTAAATGAACGAAAAAAATAGAATTGAAGAAATAAAATCGCATATCATGATAGAGCTGAAGTTGTAGCTTATAGAAAAGACAGAGAGAATGAACAATTTCTTTTATATTGCTTTATATTTTCAATTTATTATGTTGTTAAAAGAGGAGGATGTGGAAGTTTTAGCGCATTTTTTTATAGAGTTTGTGAATGGATTTTTTCTAAGGTTTGCATTTGATCCATTTAATATTAAGTGTCGGTAACTAAAGTCAGCAAATGCAAAGAGATGAGAAGTTCATTTTTACAACATTTCTTGAAATTGCAAAACAACCGCTAAGCTTTCTTTAAATTTAGACTTGAAGTTGGCTATAGCTGCATAATTTTGAAATTTATTGTTCCGTTAAAATTTCAAATTCACGGGTTTTAAGTAAATTTAAATAAACTCTCAAACCAACCTTAAGTTATAAATAAAATAATCAATCCTCTATCTACATTTTCTCGACAAAACTGCACTATTTCCACAATCTCCTTGAGTGACATTCACCGCTAACTTATTTTTATTATTACATCACTTTAACTGTATATATTTCAGGAAAATTAAAATTTATGAGAAGTTGTGCAATCTTTTTATGGTTCGCATACATTCTTACAGAAATAGAAGAATAAAAACTGAGAAGCTTTTCATTCAATTCAATTTTCATCTTTACAAGAATACGACATTTTTATATTTTTTTCAGGGGGGAAACAACATGATGGGATGCGGTTTTGATGATTGTAAAAAGTTCATCATTGTAAAAAGTTTCTTACTGATTTTGGTTCTTTTCTTTCTCATCTATGTTTTTGTGATGAAATTTCACATCGTTTTGAAAATTTTCTTTTCCATCATGTTGTTCTCCCCCTGATTTACTCAGTCATTGTTCGCAGTTTGATTGAAGAATGAGAAAAAAAGTATAGATGAATATAGTTACTTTTTATAGGAAATGTAATTCATTAGATATGCGGGAATGATATAGAATAGATTGTAAGCTAAAAAGGGGAAGGAAAAAAGTACAAACATAAAATCTCATTTACTCACATATTCACTTAGGAATTACTAATCACATTCTTGCACTTTTTTCTTCTCTTTTTTTTTTGCTACTCCATTTATTCACATCTACAAACCATCATCATCATCATCATCACGTGTACATACTGCATACTTTAATCCACATTTGTAAATAAAAATAAACTAAAGGATCAATACCCAACATGAACAATATTGTAAATTTTCAATGCTTAACACCCGAAACAAAAACGCATAGCTTTGTTGACACCCTTCACGGCCTCACTGATAAGCTTCATCAACTTAGACACGATGATAAATCGAAATCGGGTAAATTCCTTTCTGGCATTCCCATTATTTTAAAATTCTTTCTCTTTTTTTGTTGTGATTTTCTTTTTTTCCTTTCCCGGAAATTTATTTTCCATTTTTTTTGCTGTCATTTTTTTTGTAGTTCCGCTTTTAAAATGAAACAAGTTCTTAAATTGAGCTTTGGAAACCACTTTTTATGCATCATGCCTTAACACAAAGGCTTTGTAAATTTTGTAAATAATGAACAGTGCTTGAATGAATTAATTTGAATTTTTGAATAACCTTAATCAAGTTTGTAAATATTTTTTGGAGTTTAATTAACATTAATTAAGCAAGTAGTTTGTAAGTTTGAGGATGGAATATGAGATATTGAAGATGAGAGTGCATTTTGGTGCTCATTAAATGAGTTTTAGGTAATTTTGAACTGATTTGAGTAAATCTAATTTGAGCAATTTTTGAGCAAAATTGAGCTACTTTCAACAAATTGAAGGAGTTTCGAACCAGACTACCGCCATTTCGTTTCGGACTTCTTCGAAATTAATTTCGATTTCTTCGACATTAGAGCCGAAAATTCAAATTTCAAAAAACAGTTGCATTATGTAAACAATAAATTATTTTAATTAATACCAATTCTGCACAAATCCCAAAGTTCTTCATAAATTATTAATTTTATATTTTTTTTATCCATTCTCAACTTTATTAAGAATAAAATTTGAGCAAAATGAGTAAGTGCATGGTAAAATCTGGTTTAACCGTCAAAAATTTTTGAATATTATAACGGCCATAAAAAATTTGAATTTTTTTGAATATAAATTTAACGGATGTTATATGAAATGACGGTAGTCTGTTTCGAACAACAAATGACTTATTTTGAGCAAAACTGAGCAATACTAAACAGAATTGAGCAAAAATGAGCAAAACTGATCAGAATTGAACAAAAAAGATCAGAATTGACTTAAATAAAGCAACTTTGAGCCAAACTTAGCGAAAATTGAACAAATTTTGATTGATTAGTGACAACTATCAAATTCCAAATTTACACTTTACAAATTTCTTGAACCTCAAAATTGAAATTTTCTCAGAATTCCCACAAATAAATTTAATTTTCACTAAACGAATCGCATTTTCAAATCATCACAAAAAGGTGATGAATTTCAATTCCTGAGAGAAAAAGTATCGCATTACAAAATCTAATCTTTTTTTCTTTTCTCTGATTCCTCAGAATTTGTAAGGCAATTTATCAAAGTCACTTTTTGTTTACTTCCTCGTGATGAAGGTTAATTGTTTACAATTTTAAAGGAGGATTAATTCACAGACAAACATACTTTTTGATAAATTATTAATGAATTCTTTAAAAGAATATCAGAAAGGGTATAAAACTTTAGATTTGATTAATTCAATGGTTCTGATTTTAGGTTAGAAACTTGAATTTTGAAATAATCGAGGATTTGATCCACATTTGTAATTCAAAACATGTTAATATCCTAGATTTTATATTTATTTTATTGACCCACATAATTTTCCAATAGTTGAAGGTACTTTTATGATGGTTCCAGCCCCCCTCTCTTCCCCCTTCTACGTCTACGTTCGTCAAACATTTGCTCGCTCAGAACTTGTCATTTGTTAGCATTTAACTGCCAATTTAATACTCAATCCCTCAAAAACCACAGTGGTTCACTTAGAATGCACTCTAACAGTTTCGAGAATTCTCTTGCTCTTTTTTGAAAAGCTTGGTTCGTAAAAAGTGAAACCCCTCCCACTTCCAAAACTATGTCAGCTACTCGAGCACTCTAGTATATGCATTCTTGCCTTAAACGAAATGTCAAAAGCTCCAATTTTCCTGTCACAAACTGTTGCTCAATTCCAAAGCTTGATAATTTGTATATATTTCCTCCTCGTGCGCATTTTGAGAACTTTATTTTTCGTAAAATAAACTTTTTATTTTCCTTTTTTCCACAATTTTGTTCCTCACACAAAAAAAATAAAATTTTATAATCCAATTTAAGTTTTTCCATTTGAGTATAAAAACAGTAAAAAAAAGAAAATAAACCTAAACCAGAATTATCTTTATAAATGGCAAATAGCAATAAAACAATCATATAAACATAATTTCTTTAGGAACAATTCATCCCTTAGTGACTGTAACACCTAGTCCATTAGCTCCAAATCACCGTCGTTCAGCTGACTCTAGTCCCACGCATTCACACACGCACTCTCACTCTCAAATGTCGCGTAACTCATCGCGTAAAAGTAATAACTCACTTAACTGCAAAATTGATGGTAGGTAGAAGTTGAAAAATAACAATAAATGTTTGTGGCTGTTGTTATTGCTGTTGTTGTAGAAAAAAAATAAACTTTTTTTTTGGGGCTGCCCTAGATTCTTAATCCACATAGACAGATTTTTCTTTCTTTCCTTATTTGATTCCTCAAAAGACTTCCTTCCAATTTTCCGCAATTTTCTTCTTCTTTTTTTTCCGTTCCTTTTAACGGCAAAAACGCTTTAGACAGAAATTGATCCATTTTTATTGTTTGTGAATTCAATTACCGAAATTCTCTTCTTATTACTTTTTCTTTTCATTTTTTAAAAGCTTTTTCATTTATTTTACTCTAATGCTAGCTGGCGGTAGATTTTGACAGTCGATAATCAAACTTTTTGAGGATTTAAATCGGATTTTAATAAAATTCGTAAATTTTGCATCAAATTGATGCTTAATAGCATCTTACTACTGTTAAAGCAATAGTACAAGATTCTAAAACTGATTTGTAAGCATTTAATTAATAATTTCAACTTGATTTAACTCCAAAGAAAGAAAAGACTAAAATTCAATGCTTGCTTATAAAAAAAGTAAAACTTGTTTGTTTACAAATTTAATAGTTGACGTTCCCCTTAAAATTCTAAAGGGGAAGATCAGATGAATGTTTTCAAGAAATAACGGAAATAATTTACCTCCACCCAGCATTAAACTTTCCTCTCCTAAATAGCGATAATAAAAGAAGAAAAATCTGTAAAATTGAGGGTCGTAATTTATTTCATAAAGTATAATTTTCCTTCTTTTTTCCTCTGGTCGATTTTCAATTTCAGATTCGAAACTATTGCCCAGGAAGCAATCGTTTTTGGATCCGTTATCCATGAAAGTTCCATTGAAAGACGTTGTGTGCTATTTATCTCTATTGGAAGCAGGAAGACCCGAAGATAAATTGGAATGTGAGTAAACTCATTTAGTTCCTTTTTCTTAAGATATATAAGAGTAAATAGTTAAGGCATAATCAGAGATTTGTTCCGTAAGCATAGATGAAATAAATATTCACAGAGGATCCAATTTGGAAGCTGTTGATAAGAGATTTCCTCCATTTTTGATGAAACCTTTTACCATGAATATTTCAAAGACTTTTAGATTGAATAATCCAGTATGACTACTTAGAAGAAATGGATAGGTCAAGGCTAAAGTTGTGAGGAAAATATGATTCTCTCGTGATTACTGAGATATTGCCTATGGCATTCATGAATCATGATGTCTAATGAAAGAAAGTATGAGATTCTATTTCTGTTGCTTGATAAATTTCATTCGACTACTTTTTAAGGAACTACAGATTTGTTATGGAGATAGGATGGGATTCATATGGTCGAATAAATTTTTCATCCTTTAATGGCTTCAATTTAATATTAATGAAGTTATCCATGCCAAATGAAGAATGAAATTGTTAAAAAATGAGATGATTTTCTGTAAAATTATATTGTAAAGCTTCCTACATACATACTCGAACAAATTCTTCTATTTTGGAATTTAAATAATTTATTTTTGACTTCATCTAGCCTGAAATAGCTTAATTTTACCTCAAATGAATTTAATGTTGAAAGCTAGAGGGTTATTGTAGGTTAATACCGTAGTATAGTTGTATACCCTAGTAAAAGTGTATAACAAGGGTACGAAACTGATGAAATGATCAAAAATGAACTTAGTTCTGCACCCTTCGTGCATACTCTAGTTTATGAGTAGGTGTAAACCAATGATATAGGGAGTGCTTCATGGGTAATAGGATATGGACCTATGATAGACTTAGAAATCAGTTGAAGAACTGAGAGTCTTTAGTCGTCAGTTGATCAGTCTTAAGTCACCAAATTTGATATGAAACCAAAGGTGCGGAATTGATAAATTAGATTTTGATCAATTTTGATAATTTTTGATTATTTTGATCAGTCCCGCACCCTTTGTATGAAACCCCAATAATCACCAGCCTTTTGTAAAGCTGTCTATTGTATAGCCCCACCTCCATCTAGTGTGAAATTATTAAAAAGACACTTAATATAACTGAATCTCTTACTTCCTTGAAAATAACTCAACAACTCATTCTCACCTCCAATTCCTCAAAATTTCCACAACAAATTAATCATCTTCAACGAGTCATATTCCCAATGATCAAAGCGTCACGAAGACTTGATGTAAAAATGATAGAATGTCGTACGCTTAAGTGCCTGTAAGCAGCCTTGCCCCCATTGACATCTTTTTTTATTGCCACGAGTTAGTTCCCTTTCGCTGTGTCTCCAATGAATGAAGTGTAGGATGAAAATTTATGACATTCTTCCATTCTTCTGTGACTATCTCTTTTCCAACAATTTTATTGCCTTCTTGTGCCTTATAACAAAAATATTTCTCATTTTTTACATCCATTTCCGTAGTCATGTTTCGTCTTTACGATACGGATGGTAATGGCGTACTGGATAAAATCGAAACGGATGCAATCGTTAATCAGATGATGTCTGTTGCGGAATATTTGGGATGGGATGTATCTGAATTGAGACCGGTAAGTTTTAATCGATGAAATTGGAATTGCTTCTGTTTTTTATGTGACATATGAACATGCTTTCGTCCTTAACTGACATAATGTGTCTCCCATTTACGTCATTCATGTCGTCCATCTACATTTATATCAAATGATAAAAATCTACATCCTGCTCTTATTTTTCTCTTATGCAGATTCTACAAGATATGATGACGGAAATCGATTACGATGGAGATGGTTCGGTATCACTTGATGAATGGAAACGTGGTGGTTTGACAACAATTCCATTGTTGGTATTGCTAGGTAAGTGAAACGTGTCTGATTTTTCGTGTCATTACCTCGTTCATAAATTATAGTGTTATCTAGCTATTTCTTGCCTTATGCCTCCTTCATACCTATTTCACATGTACATACAATAAAGTTTTTTTTTGCCAAGGAAATCAACTCGTTAAATTCTTTATTACATTTTGGAAGAAAACTAATGGAAAACTATATATAACAGCCTTTTCTCACTTTTATACTTTCTTCCTTTATACTATTATGTTTTAATTGCTTTGTGGTATTTTAAAAATTTATTTCATTCATTTTTTGTGGGTGACGTTCAAATACCACTATGGCTAGGAAGAGCTTCTGCTAGTATGTTCGACGAAAGTTTTTTTGAACTTTGAACTGGTGTGAAATAATAACTGTCAAAAAATATTTTAAAAAATAACGGTAAAAAGATATTTAAAAAATAACTGTCAAAAATATTTGAAAAATATCTGTATTTTCTTGAAGATTTAAAAAAATGGTTTTAATCTGGTTAAGGGTCATTCTTAAATTACGTCACGCATAAAACAACTTTTTGGACCTCCAGTTTGTATCAAAAAATGGTTGTTTGAGCTGTCAAAAATTGTTTCAACACTCCCACTCCTCCTTTTTAAAGCGTGACGTAATTTGCGAACGACCTTTTGGGCCGTTCATTTATTACGTTCGCATTTTAGGGGGAGAGGGGGTTTTGAAAAATTGTATATGATTAATATGATCCCAACATTGTGATATTTACATTCAAAGTTGATTGAATTTTCCAAAATTCGATCGGGCATAATCTGACATCTGGCATAATGAGAATACTAATAGTATCAATCAAAACAAGACCTATTTAGCTGTGAAGTATTTTGATGTTTAAGAAAAAAAAATTCAAAAGAAATTTAACCGTCTTTTTAGAATACGTTCAGGGGGGGGGGGGGGGGGGTTGTGAGTTGTAACATATTGTAACAAGGGGGGGAGGGGGTTGTGGTTGAAAAAAGTCGTTTTTTTGCGTAACGTAAAAAGTGAACGGCCCCCCCGGAATTTCAAGAATTTAAGGTCTCTTTTTTAAGATCTCAACCTCACCCTCTCCCTACTGTTACGTAGTAAGCGAACCTTGAATCATTTTAAAAGTTCAAGCCCACAGACAAAGTATTGACAAATGTTTCCTTTTTCGAATGAAAATGTTTCTTGAAAATTGAGGTTTAAGAAAAAAGAAAAAAGAATTTCTAAATGAAAACTTTCAAAAACTTTATTCAGAATATTTAATGAGAAACAAAAACATTCAACATGAATTAAAGTTAATTATAGTAAAACTTAAGTCAGAACTCCTCAAGTGTAATGTGACAGAAGTAGAAGCAGAAGAAAAGTTTGTGAATAAGAAAATTATACACATTGAATATGAATGGTTTCTATTTCTGTCCAGTTTGAGTAATTTGTCAATGACAGTGTCAAGGAGCTTCAATGCTGATATGTACGAATGAATGAAATATCGAATGTCACAGATGATTAGATTGTAATATTTTTAGAATAATGACAATCCCTTGATACCCTAATTATATTGAGTTGTTGTGACAAATAAACAAAATTATATGGTTCGAGTTGTGTTGTGGTTGGCATGATAGTTACGTCTGAATTGGTAAGTTTGAATTATTCTGATCGTTATTAATGATTTGAAAAAAAATGCCGTTAATTTTCAAATAATTTTTTGCCGTTAATTTCAAATATTTTATGACCGTTATTTTCAAAAGTGAATTATTTCTGAAATTAAACTTACGACCTGCTACATCCTTCCATATCAACCAACAAAAATGACATAACATCCAATTATTATTATCATCATTACATAAGCATGTGTTGATAGTAAAATTGCGTTAATTCACGTGCTGCTATCTCGTACAAGCTCATAATGATAATAGCATAAATTGGAATTTCCATACATTTTCCGACAATTTTCCCTTGTTGGCATTTACAAAATTCTCATCTCGCAAACATTTCAATTCATTTTTTTTTGTTGAAAGCTACACAGAGTGGGGAAAATATATAACTAAACTAAAGGGAGGAAGATAGTGAAATGATGCTGATGACGACAATGCTCATTTTACGAAATGCATGCAGCATCAAAATGGAAATAAAGTTGTGGAAAATGCTGACAGACACAATGAATGACCTAAAATAAATTTACTTGAAATGCAATTTTCATGATATTTAATTTAGATACTGTAGATGTACATAAAATTTATTGTGGATCTGCTTTAAAATGCTATGGGGGAAACAACATGGTGGAAAAAAAGTTGTGGATTCGAAATTTCTTAAAATTTACTAAAATAATGACAATATTTTCAACAATTTATTTCTTAAATTATTTGAATTTTCAGGGGGGATACAACTTAATGGAGGAAATTTTAAAAGTTCATAATCAAATCATTTACATATAAAATAATATTCGCATATAGATATCCCATCAAAAACTTGTACCAATGAAGTTGCCTATTAAGTAATTTTCCCTTTGCATTTTCCCATCATGTTATGTTCCCCTTGAAAAAATTACTCAATCTACATCTTGTTTTATCAAAACAAATTGTAAAATGCAATAAAACATTCAAATTTTTTAAAATGATCTTTCCTCTCAAAGCTGTTATCCCCCTGGCTTTAAAAATCAACATAGTAAAAAATCTTTTTATAGCTTTAAGATTCAATTTTCCTATTGAAAGCAAATTGTCGTAAACTTAATGCAATTAAGCTCAAGTTCGAAAAAAGAAAAAATTTATGACTTGGAAGCAATTAAATGATTTAATTCACAAAATTGGAAAGAGTCTTTGATCTAGTAAATTAAATAAAGTTCAAAAAACGTGTTGGCAGATTAAGAAATTGTCGTTAAAACTTTCTTTATCTTATTTATAACAATCAGTTTGTTAATAATGAATTAATGAGAATCCAATAGACACTTTAAGCACGAGATAAACTTTTACAGCTATAATTAGATCCAGCTCTTGGAACTATATAATTAAAAACAAAAGAACAAATTTGCTTTTACGGTACACTTGTAATTTTTAGAGACTTTTCTATTTGGACAAAAAATATCCGAAAGGAGAAAAAGGATAGATAAAGATAAAAAGGCTTTGACGATAAATTTTGTGTCACATTCATTTTGTTATTTATAAGCTTTTAATTTCATGGGGGTTTTAAGACGGTAAAAGGGATATAGATGAGCTGATAGAGCGCATAGATTTCCTACACAAGTTGTTTTTGGATACTGTAATTTGGAATATAGTCGATAGCTAATTAGCTACTTTTGTAAGCATTTAAAATGAAAAAAACAGTAGATTTTCTGGTGAATATTGAACCATTTGCAATGATTAGTAGTGAGTTGCTTGGTTTTTTAGCTCTACTCCAGTGATTCTCAAACTTTTCAGACCACAGTTCAGTAAATCCGTCGTACTTCTCTTTAAGCTTTAAATCTGAAATTCCATCATCTTATAAAGACATCTCATTTCCTGGAAAGCTCCAAAAACCTGTCTCATAAATCATTTCATCACATAATGAATTTCAAGACATTCAAAACCAAAAGAAACATCAAAAGCTCTTCAAGTACCAGAAATAAGCAGTAACAATAATTAATTTCAATCCTATCTAACGATCTGCGAATATGGCATGCCAGAATGACACTCAAGTCATTCCATATGTACACAAACATTTATCACAATAAGAGACACATATTAAGCTTATTACATTCATTTTCATTTCTCGGTTGACTGAGGCACACACACATAAGACACAAACGAGAAATATCTTAGACAATTCGGAGGAAATGAATTGTAATCCACGCGTATATGATGATAATAACACACCTTATTCTTATATATTTAATTCTAGGTGTTGATAGCTCACTTAAAGAGGATGGTTATCACGTGTGGCGGTTAAAACATTTTTCCAAGCCTGCTTATTGCAATTTATGCCTCAATATGCTTGTTGGTCTCGGAAAAAAGGGATTGTGTTGCACACGTAAGTCATAAAAGGCTTTAAATATGCTGTAAAATTATATTACATGCATGGGAATCATTACAAGCCCATCATAAACATTTTTGCTCATTTTTATTTCCACTCCAAAACTCACTCAACAGTATGTAAGTACACAGTTCACGAGCGTTGTGTACAGCGAGCGCCAGCATCATGTATAACAACATATGTCAAGTCAAAACGTCCTGGTGCACTTCAACATCATTGGGTGGAAGGAAATTGTTTTAGAAATTGCTCTAAATGTCACAAGCGTATTAAGGCATATTCGGGACTAACATGTCGATGGTGTAAAATGACATTACATAATCGTTGTGCTAATAATGTCAAGATTGAATGTAATCTGGGAAAGTTTGCCAATTTTACCGTACCGCCAACAGCTATATGTCCTGCCGTACTCGACCGACAACGATCAGCGAGTGTAACAAATATAAGGTCGAAGGTAATTGATTCCATTTCTCATTCTGACATTGAGAACCTTTTTTACTTCTTCTTCCTCTTATAATATCTGACTATGAAAAATTTCTTATTTGCAAGCAGCCAGCACCACCAATTCATTTCCAAGTAACATTAGACACACCTACATCGACACCTTTGCTCGTATTCATTAATCCAAAGAGTGGTGGACGGCAAGGAGAACGAATATTAAGGAAATTTCAATATTTGTTGAATCCTCGACAAGTTTATGATTTAAGCAAGACAAGTCCGCTCGAAGGTATTTGCATGCTGTTGAAAATTTGCAACGCCGTAACTTTATATTACATTCAATATTTTATTCCTTTTTTTCTGTAAAAAAACAGGCCTTACAATGTTCAAGGATGTGCCAAATTTTAAAGTAATTTGTTGTGGTGGAGACGGAACTGTTGGCTGGATTCTCGAGGCAATGGGTAATTATTTTATTATTTTTTTTTGATCTTCTGAATTCAATTGGCTTTTTTGCTGTCTGTTCTGACAATATTTCATTATAATGTAATCTTGTAGCTTTCATTCCTATTTCTCCCGCTACACTTCAAGATTTTGACAGTTCCTTAATCCAACGTTGCCCAAATGCCCAATTACGGCTTGATCTCGTACTTTAAGCAGTCGAAATATTTTAACTTCTGATAAAGAACAAATTTGGAAATGGCTGGATTTGAACCGACGACCTTCGAGTTACCATACCAAATTTGAGTCAAGCGCCTTACTTATTCGACCAGCAAGGCACTTAACTGTTATATCAATATATCTGTTTATCTGTCTCCATGTTTTCATTCACTTGAATCTATATGTGTCTTCTGAAAGACAGGGACATAACTTTAAATCTTTAGAGAAAGATTTGATGGGATTGAAGGGTGGTTTCGTCCAGAGCGTGTAGAGGCTATAGAGGGATAAAGTCTTCCTATTCTTCAACTCTTTTAAATATAAAATTACGAAGAGTCCATGAATAAAATTTATAGATTAATTCCAACAGCAAATAAGCTAAAGCTACCTTAATCCTCGCAAAATTCTTAATTACTTTCTAAATATTAATTACCATTTTTTTTGAAAAAAAATTACTTTTCATCACCTCCGCAAAAAAAAATCAAATTAAGATTCTGTGGAAATTAAACATCAACCAGCAACAGCCGTTATACCACTTGGAACAGGTTCGTACAAAAAATTATAATTTTATAATGATTTATGATGATGACTTGATGATTTTGACCTTCCCACAAACTTTCTTAGGTAATGATCTGGCACGATGTCTTCGGTGGGGCGGTGGATATGAGGGCGAAAGCATACCGAAATTATTTGATAAAATTAGCCGCTCGGAGGTAGTAATGATGGATAGATGGAATGTTAGCATAGAGCCGGCAATTGAAAAAGAGGAGACGATAATTCCAGCTCATAAAGTATTAAAGGTGATTGAAGGAAATTTAATAAGATTTTTGTGCATTTTTTTTTTTGTTGCTGGATAATTTGCATATAGATTGAATTTTAATTGGAATCAAATCAAGCTGAGTTTTAATAGATTCAATTAACCAATTTGATGAAAAAATTCTCACTTCATTATTGAGCATTTTCACTTCATCTTCACTCAATCAAGAGTCAATCAATCGACAAATCGCCTCAAAAACCAAGAAGATCAAATTTCTTCCGTGATTGAATCAATCCAGTACATTAGACAACAAAGCAAAATCTAATATAATAAGAAAATGCTTTTGAGACTTTCGCAAGAAGAAGCTCAATGAAATTTAATCTCAATTTAGCTCTCTGAGCAGTAGCAGGGTTGGGTAAATGAAGATTGGACTTATATAGTGGTTTTATAGGCAGCTGAACAGTTCTAACCCTATGTCACTAGCTTAATGGTTCCAAAATATAGACTAGTATTGGACAAACTTGACAGAGCGCAGGTATAACAAAGAGTATTCTTAAAATACTTTAGGTCTAGGTATGACCTTAGTATACACTCAGATGTAGTCACAGGCAACTAGTATTTGGCTACACTGAATCTATGATATGACAAAACTCTATGATATGATTGAATAATGATCGGTTTTTCGTAGGAATCGAACCTACGTCCTCACGCTACAGAGGATTAAAGATTTCTGATGTGTTGCTTAAGGGCCGTTCACTTTTTACGTTACGCAAAAAACGACTTTTTTCACCCCCCCCCCCTTGTTACAATATGTTACAACTCACAACCCCCCCCCCCCCCTCCTGAACGTTCATAATTTATTTTATTTTGATAAAAAGGTGGAAAATTTAAAAAAATGATTTTGGTGTGAATTTGTAAACAAATTTTTTTCGTGAACTTTTCCTTAAAAGACAGACGACAGTTAGATTCTTGACACACCCCCCCCCCCCCCTCCCCCTATGTTACATTATGTTACAATTTTTCCAACCCCCCTCCCCGCTAAAATGCGGACTTAATAAGTGAACGGCCCCTTAATCACTCGACCACAGATGTCTCTTCTTTAAACTAACAGATTCGCAAAGATATGCCTCAATACCTTCAAAATCAACTCTTCATCATGTCCAAACTACCAACTCTGCTTTCCCATCAGTACATTTTTCTGCTTCAATCAATACAAAGTATATTTCAATGCACAAGAATTTTATACCCAATTACAATATCAAGTAGCTGTAATCCGAATTTGTAATAAAAAATCTTATTAATTCTCTCAGGTTACGCTTTCTGAAAATGTACAAAGAGTAGTTGAATTATCGCAAAGAATAGTTGTTGAAAAATCTGTGATAAACTCACATGAGCAGGTGCAAAGAACATCAGAAATATCAATTGAGAATTCCAAGCGAGTCATTTTAAGTGACAATAACTCATCTTCCACGTCAACGACTGTCGAGAAAAGTCGTGAGACGACATTAGAATCAAATGGCATGCTGCAAAATTGTGAGAAATTTAGCGATAAGGAATGTACAGTTGAAAATAATTCAAAGACAGAAAATGATGAAAATTGTATAAATAATAGTAGTAATGGCACTAATAGACCAAAGAGTAGTTCTAGTTGTAATGATCTTCTTATGTTTGGCAAGTCGCAACAATCACAGCTTGAAATACCGTCACTGCTTAAGGATCCACAGCCGACAGCTGCAGATTTTTCGATTCCTTACAATATCATTAATAATTATTTCTCAGGTATGTTGCTTTGGATTTTTCAAGGACTGATTTTCGAGATTTTAATTTTGAACTTAATTTTCGAAAACTGAATTTCGAACTTAATTATCGAAAACTGAATTTCGAACTTAATTTTCGAAAACTGAATTTTGAACTTAATTTTCAAGAATTTAATTTCGAAGTTAATTTTTAAGAATTTAATTTCGGACTTAGTTTTCGAAAAATAAATTTCGAACTTAATTTACGAAAACTAAGTTTCGAACTTAATTTTCGAAAATATGATTTCGAACTTAATTTTCGAAATTTTAATTTTGAACTTAATTTTTGAAACTTAATTTCGAACTCAACGCTCAAACATTTCGATTTCGAACTTTTCGATATCGAATGATCGAAATTGAGAATCGATCAATTCCATTCATAAAATAATTCATTCATACCTAAAATTCTTCCGTAATAATTTTCATAATTACATTTATTTACATTAATGTCTCACATGATGGTCAACAGTTGGTGTGGATGCAGCAATCTGTGTAAAATTCCATTTAGAGCGTGAAAAGAATCCGCATAAATTTAATTCACGTATGAAAAACAAGCTGTGGTATTTTGAGTACGCTACGAGTGAAACATTTTCTGCAACCTGTAAAAATCTACACGAATATGTTGAGCTGACATGTGACGGTGTTCGTTTAGACTTAAATGGCATATCACTACAAGGAATTGCATTATTGAATATTCCATATACACACGGCGGATCAAATTTGTGGGGTGAGAATTTATCACAAAAACGTATTCGACGGAGCACGTCAAGCAACGGTCCTTTTAAGAAAATGAAAAAGCTTCGGAGTGCTGATAAGGAAATGTCAACTCAGAGTTTTAATTCTGTTGATTTAAGCATCGCCATTCAAGGTAAATTGCTGCTTCTTTTCTCTGCCGTAAATGCCATATAACGATGATTTTTAATTTTCTCTTCCATTAGACATTGGCGACCGTAAAATTGAAGTTATTGGATTGGAAAGTTGTCTTCACATGGGACAAGTACGGACTGGACTGAGAGCATCAGGTTGGTTCTTTTTTTCTTGTTGATATTTCTATAATCCTCTTCTCCTTCTAAATGTCATGACTCTCGGTTCTCTTAGACGCATAATAATATTCTCCTTTATTTATTTCTATATCAACCCATAAATCAGGTCGACGATTGGCGCAATGCAGTGAAATAATACTTAAAACAAAAAAGACTTTTCCAATGCAAATCGATGGTGAGCCATGGATGCAAGCTCCGGCAACTGTAAGTAGATTAGTGATGAGGAGAATATAAGCTTCTTAAATTATTCTCTTCTGTTACTGCTGATGTTATTTCAAGGCTTTTTCACTTGAAAAATTTATTTTCGATGTCAAGACTTTTTAATGAAGCTTCACAAGAAGTTTGAGAAGTCTTTGAGTGATTAATTCCGAGAAAATTGTAAAGCAATTTATTTATTACAATGTTGCTTGTTGTGATTCCAGTTGTTTTTAAGTCTAATGAAGTTGTTTGAAAGTTTGGTTGATGGTTATTTACGGGGGCACGTAATGTTATTTTGCTTAATTGTACTGGTGTCAATACGGTACAATAGATTCTATCAACGATCAGGATCGAAGTGCCTTCAGCTCATCGCAACGTGTAGAACACTTCCCCAGGCTGGAACCCTCTCACATTTTTGCTCGTGTCAATAAAGTGTCGTTCTGGATCTGACTTTTAATTTTTCACAGGGAAATAAATTCTTCTTTTGAATCAGATGCATACAAATAAAACATCCTAAAATTTTTTTGAGCAAAGAACCAAGTAGAAAATACATTTTCAATTGTGAACTTGGGAGAGGTCTAGTCAAAATCTAGTTTTTCACTTTTTTTTCTTCGAGGATAAATCCAAATACAGTAAAACTTTGTATGAGCATTCTAATTTTCAGGTCACACATTTCTGAATTAATAAAAATCATTTTTTTGGACAAAATTTTAAGTCACGTTGTTTTTGAATGTAGAACCAAATTTATAAAATTTGAGTCTGACGACATATAGAATACATTTCTTGCTTTAGATATTTAAAACTGTTTTGTATAAATATTAGTATATTCACACAAAGTTTCACTGTAATTGGATAAGCCTTCGAAGAAAAAAAGTGAAAAACTAGATTTTGACTAGACCTGTCCCAAGTTCATAATTGAAAATGTATTTCCTACTTGGTTCTAGGCTCAAAAAATTTTAGGATGTTTTATTTGTACTTTTTTAAGCATTAAAATATTTATGCAAAGTTTCAATCCATTTGGATAAACCCTCGAAGAAAAAAGTGACAAAATTGATTTGGAATAGGGTCGCCCCTAGTCCAAAATTGAAAATTGATTTCTATGGTGTACTTTGGTCAAAAAATTTTTTTGGATGTTTTATTTGAATTGACGATCAATATTACTTTTCTTTATCTTAAAACACTTGACAAAATAGCGACATAATTCAGGATTAATTACTTTTTAATGATATTTTAACATTTACGAGAAAATGTGGTTCAAATAAGTGTGAAGTATCGCCGAGATTTGGACCAAAATCAGCTTTACTGGTTCATAGTGTTCCCGAGGATGACAAAATTCAAACTAAGTGTTTTTGTAGCTGACATAATTATGACATAAATTAGGTAAAACTTTTGAACTGTGTCGATATGGGTCTCGACCGTACTTCACGCCCACCCTTCAAACTTATGCTGAGCAAAGTGTGTGAATATATCCGGTGTGAATATATCCGCATTGGGTTTCTACCCGATACACTAGTTGAAAAATGACCGTTAATTTTGGACGACATAAGTGAAAAACCCCTTATGACAATTCTTAGAAAATCTAATATAAAGTCAATCCACCATCTTATGAAATTACTGGCTATGAACCTGTTTGTGTCGACAAGAGTGCGTGATAAGGTTTTAACGGTCACTAGACAAGGATTTCTCTTTCTTATCCTTATTTGAGCGTAGAACCTAGTTGATAATCTTATACAGTGAGAAATCAGGAGCAAGGTAAGGCCAGGAGCCCAAACTTACATAAGAAGGGGAAACTTCCCTGTCAAACCTCTAAATCATCCAATTTTTCAAGCTTATTGGCTTCTGTTTCAATCTAAATCGTGTTGAACAAATTAAATTCAAGACAAGCAACTTGCCACACATGAACCTCGTTAAGGAAAGTGAAAAGCAATTCGAGTGAAAAAGCTTAGAATGACATGCAGTTCTGTCACAGTTCGTTTACATAAAATCTTATTTTCAATTTTTTTCCTTTATTTTCTTCATTCTCATGCACATCATGGAAATGAAATTTAAATAATAGATTAAGATAACCCACAAGAACCAAGTTCCAATGTTAATGTCACCGAAAAATGATAAAGGTAGGGGATTTTTTAATTTCAACTTCTGGCGCAGATGACTAGCGCGGGATATACCGGACGATGATGAGAATTGATTGATATACATGACATTTAGTGAATATAGTAAATAATTTAAATAAATTTATAATAATAATATTAAAAAACTAGTCAATAATTTTAGAAGTTAAGGAAGACTCTAGTGAAATGATGAAGAAAAAAATTGTAATTTTATAGTCTCATAAGAGAAATGGGAAAAAGCTTTAAAACATATATTTTATAAACACAAATTGTAAAGAAAAAACAAGATTGTGAAAGCTTTAATAAACTTAAAAAATAATTGATAAAATATTTAGAATTAAGAAATAAGAACAACAATGGAATCTGATTATAATTTTATTTTTTGATCATACCAAAGAGAACCAGCGAGAAATTTTGAAAGTTAAGGTTAAAAGCTTTACATCGAATATCTATACCAATTATAATCTCATTGCATATACTCTTGAAATTTTGTATAAGTTTTACTTCAATTTCTATTTTATATGTTTGAATATAATTAATTTTTTTTGTTACTTTACAAACGGGGGTCATGCACATATGATGTCTTAAAATCTGAAAGATTTAACTTTTAAGGAAGAAAATATTCAGCTTCTTCGATTAAGTGTAGGTTAATTTAAAGTGAAGCTAGTGAGCTGAAGTAATCGAATAGCATAGTCGGCATGACTCTCGCATACTGCTGGGTTCAATTTAAATCCAACACCATGCCAAAGTCTCATTAGCAGAGTTGCGAAACAGGCACCTGTGACAGGTGAGAAAGCTACAATTCCTTGATAATTTATAAGGCTTTCTAACAAAACCATACAAATTATCAAGGAATGGAACGGTTCTCACCTGTCATAGGTGGCCTGTTTCGCAACTCTGCTCATTAGTGTATTGCCGGATTTCTGATTGATTAGCTGACTTGTGCCATTCGGGGTAGCTTATTGGAGTTGTAGTTTATGATCCCTGGCCCTATCAGTAATTAAATACAAATTCAGCTATTCTGGGTTCGAAACTTGGTGTCACTTTTATAAGTCACAAAAGATAATAACTTTCCTAATTAAATGAATTTCGGGTCATCTCAAAATTTGACAGTCTGGCTTTCATTTATGAGAAGCTTTCATTCAAGTCCTTTAATAGAGTTGCTGGAAGCAAGTCCAATATAATGGTATTATAGTGCTTTATGCAACAAACTTATTAATAGAAGTTAATCCTCTGTTGCTGAATGTTTAAGCAACAGTCTTAAAATCTAAAAACTCTTTTAAGATGTGGGTTCGATTCTCATCAGAAGTCGGTCTCACTAATGTTCCTTAGCACTATGCTCTAACCTTAATCCTAGTTAAATCTAGTCAATGTCAACCTATTCTTGCGAATAAAAGCAATTAACTACTGTCCTTAAGTGAATAAGGATTAAAAATTCAACTTATAAATTGACATCATCTGTGCTCGACCCTTAAAACAACGAATGCTTTATTTAATCAGCAAAATTGTTATTTAAGGATAAACTTTCAGGTCTCTCTGTTTCTTACTGAATCTTTAACTTTTTAACATTCACTAAAATTGAATTTTCGATGTTGAAGATGTTTAGATATGTATGGAACCTCCCCTATTACATTAAATTACATCCAAAATATATGACTTGAAGGAAATTTTCATTCAAAGGGGTTGATGGCAAAGGATTCATCCTCATCATCTTTATTATTATTATTATTTGAATGTTGATAAGGAACTTTTTTTGTTTATAAAAAAGGCGTGGGAATTGTGCCATTACAAATCGAATAATAATTTCATTAGACAAAGTATATGGTAATGGATGTGAGAAGGAAGATAAAAACTTGAGAACATATTCATTTTAATCAATAAGGAAGATGAAATTGTTATTAAAAATTTATGAAGTCTAATGAACTTTTCCCTTCGAGATGATCCTTATCTTATCTATTTAGGATTGTATCAGAATTTAGAATAGACTCTGCATAATTTTATGGGATTATGCTATCAATTTGTGGGTGTTTAAGTGTCTGTTGAAATTGACAATTGTGTATGAATAATTCAGTAATTTAAATTTAAATGAAATTGAAGAGCAGTATGCTTTAATTTTGAGGCTTGACATCGTAATTTGATATCGTTTTGTTGATTTATTTTAAATTAAATTTGAAGTTCAATGTTAACGGAAAATTCAAATTTAAATTTTGAAAACCCTACAAATTAATATCCAAATTTGAATTTCAAACGACCGTTAAAAATTGAAATTTAATATTAAAATCTTTTAAAACTTAAAATGTGATTGAATTTGCTATAAAAGCCTTAATCATTAAACACAAGATTTTATTCTAGCACATTTTAAGCATCTCTGATTGAAATGAGTAAAAATAACCAATAAAAAGCACAACGTAGCTAATTCAACTCAATTTCATTCAGAACCAAACTCATTCAACACACTCAATCACTATCACAACGAAGTTCATACTCAATGTGTCTATTTTTAAACTCAATCGAAACAAACGTGCCTTCTTATCACTTCAAATCCAGAGAAATGAGATTTATATCAGGAGTTAATGTCAAACTTTTCAACCCACTTCTGAATATTCTCGTACCTGTCAGTTCCCATATGTATGCTACGCCAACACTGTTTGCATAAATTATGAAAGAAATCTTTTTACAAATTTGCTTTTATATCTCGTTTTTAAACTCATATCTTCGCCATATTTAACAAATCATGAAACATCTTGTAAAGTATATCCAAAAAATGTTTTTTTTTTTAAATTTACGAATATATTTACAAACGCTTCTAAATGAATTTCAATAAAGTCTAATGGCTTATTATCAAATCAAATAATCGTACGTGTAGAATTAACTTTGTGAACTTTATTTTGTCAATCGAATAAAAATCGACTCAATTGCTTTTTTCTTTAAGAATAGCAATTCAGTGAATTTCCTATTGTTGACTTTAAAAAGCATTTGCGAAAAGATATTCAATAAGAAAGATTTTGAAGAGCTTCAAGGGACCATCAGAGAATTTATGATGCAGAGCTAGTGTTATCAAGCAATGAATTTTATTAGCATAAAATGAAAGCTTTTAACAAAAATTGAAAACAATAAATGTAGATGAAAATTTCAACAATGCATTCACGATGAATGAAAACTTTGTGATAATATTCTTAATGCAGTTGGAAAGTTCATTGGCTGCATATGATTGGGAAGTAGAGTTTTGTTGATTATCTGAGTGAAATTAATCCTGTGTTATTTTAGAATAGAATTTTTTATAGTTTTAACGGTTAAATTAAATTTAAAAATTCGAAATTAATTTCGAATTTTTCGAAGTTAATTTCCAATTTCTTTCAAATTTTATTTAAAAAAAGCCATTTTGTAACATCAAACAACATTAATTAAAGAAAAATTTGTAATTTTGTATTTCGAATGTTTTTTAAACAGTTTTTTTGTAAACAAACTCATGAAAAAGTGTGGAAAATTTAAAATTTCTGAAAATATAACGGAAAAAATCTTGTCTTATTTTGCAATTTATTAAAAGATAACTTCTGGTATAAAAAATCGTGAATATTGGTCAAAGTAGCAAAAATTTCAGGCTCTTCGTCTAATTAGAAACGTTTCCTAATATGTGAACGAGCCCTTTTTGAAGTTTGACTTTGTTATGAGAAATTTGATTAAACTCGAGTCCATTTCCAGGTCGAGTTTGAACTGTTTTTCGGAAACTGAAAGCTCTCAATTAAGATTATGTTACTGACAAGATTAAATATGGGACATATCTATTTTAATTAATAGTTTAAATGATCGATTTTACCAATTATAAATCAACATTCATAACTTAGTAATAAAAACAAACGATAGAAAATCGTGAAAGTTTAGGTTCAAGTCCTATTACTTGTAGAATTAAAATCTATTTTAATATTTTTGTTGATACCCCTTTTTTAAATTTTTTGTTCCTGATAGTCAAACTGATAATCCTAGATTTCAAGATCATTTCCAAAATAATGCTCTCTGGAGTTTATCTAAAATAAATTTACACAGTTGAGCATTGTTTTAATTAAAGCAAGAAAAGAAACTTTGAAAGCTCATTGAGAAAAGTTAGAATAACAATAATGAGCACAGCATACAGAAGAATATCGAACAAAAGAAAATATTTTTAATTTACATAAAATCTCCATTGCCATCCACCAAACAATGAAAATTTCCTTAAAATCTTTTTTTGTCTTTTTAAACTGAAAAGCTACTTAAAAAAATTATATGAAAAAAAAAACTTTTTTTTCATTTTTCATTGCAAAAATTAATAAGAAAATTGTCCAGTAACAGTTAACAAATAAACTTTTTATAATACATACCTAATAAAATATCATAGTAAAGTAACTAAATCATACAATGCGAATAGTTTTAAAAAAATACAAAAAAATTTCTCATTTAATAAAGTTGCATATCATCTTACTCTATAATAAAAATCGAAAATATAAATCTAGATATGAATATTTATTTATTTTGTTAACAAATCAATGAACTTTTTCATTCTTGATGATTGTTGAGGAAGATGCTATGAACTGTTAAGAGAAAATGTTTATTATTTACATTCCATTAACTTTTAATTCACAATTCTTCTATTCTTTCTAATTTAACTTGAATAATTAAATTAAATAATGTAAGATTGAGATAGAAAGGAATTACATATAGTAAAATATTATACTAATAAGGACTAATATAAGATAGTAGATAGATATTTATGATAATTAACTGAACATATATAAATTTTAAATGAAGAAGAATAAATTTATGGATAATACGGGGAGCTCATTATGGAGCCTTATTAAATGCAATTTGAAGATTTAATGATTTTGTGGTTTGAAGGATTTGTTGTAAACATTAATTAAGTTTAATTTTGATTTAAATATGTTTATGGTTGTGGTTTTATGCTCAAACTAAGCCGTGGCATACTAATTAGGGAAATTAAACCAATAATTATGATGAGTTGGATCAATTTCTGCTGTTTTGATTCTGATGTGTACTAGCAAACTTCAAAGTAAATGTCTTGAATTCTAGTAAAATTCTTTGAAAATCGAAGCATTGTTTGATGCTTCAATAAAACCTTCAACTGGATATGCTCCTGATCTGATACGAACAATTCATGTTCGACAGACTTATCGAAAGTCTAGGGGTATTATAAAATGACCGTTCGAAAAATTTAAATATGAAAAAATCGTTACAAATTTTAATCATTTTATTCGAGTTTTTGATAGTTATAAAAAAGATTTTCATCCAAATTTCATATAAATCTTTCTTAATTTAAGTTTTCATTTTTTCCTAATTTTCGAAAATTTCGAACTGGGTATAGAACTTCGAATTTCGTATGACAGACAGACGAATAAGACATTTTCACAAGTTTTCTTAGAAACTGTAACGGTCGAAATCATCGAATTGTTCTTATCAACTCCTGATCTTAACTTAAAAGCAATCTTAACCGAATTCCATAAACTCAAATCAAAATCGAATTTTCAATTAAAAAAACCCCATTTCAACTACAAATCATTCTGTAGATAATCAAACTTCAAACTGCATTTAATCAATTTTCATCTTGATTTCCTCATTGAGCCAATATCCAAAGTTTATAAAGCAAAGATTAATATTTTATTGAATTAAAATAAAGAAGAAAATAAATTGAAATTCTCAAATGAACTCAGAAAAAAGAACTCGTTAAACTTTTTTCCAACTTGATTACTGTAGATATTTCCATTTACTTGCTTACTTTCCATTCCACTTCCTCCAAATAAGATTTTTTCTTTTCCAGAATTTGTATGAAAACATAAAATCAACAGTAATCATCCGTTGATATGCTTAAAAGATACACACACGAATATCTACATGATTAAAGTATATCTGCGATTTATATTCATGAAATGCTAGTCGATATCTTGTATAACGAAGATTTATATGTTTATCTACTTCTTCTTCTTCTTTTGTCTATCCCCACCCACGCATATTTAAGGATTAAGAACTTAATTATAATTTTCTAATCTTATATTATTTTAATTAAATTATGTTCGCATGTAAAATTAAGTTTATTTATAAGCTATTTATATTGTATTATACAAAAAAAAAGTGATGTGTACATGGCTAAAATTATCCGTGGCTTATCTCATGTTGATTCTATTTCTATTGTTAATATTGACATTTAAAAATGTTATGAGAAAATTATTAAGGAAAATACAAAGATGTTGAATATAGACAGCATTAAAGGCTGGTAAAATTGAAGATTTGATGGAATTATTTTGAAATAATAAATTGTTGATTTGAATTTATTAAGTTTTTTTGAAATGAATTATTGTTGAAATGCTCGAGCTATTTCAGTTACATCTCCTCCTAAAATTGATAATTTTCCTAATATTGAAATATTTTTACACCTTCTTAATAAAGTTGCGACCTTAATCTCCTTTATATCTTTCTACTTTGAACCGCTACACTTTCTTTTAATATCCAGTCTACTCATTATGAGTTTGGGACGTAGAATAAAAATTTTAAAAAAATAAAGCTATGGATTTCCTGTCTCAGGAAGGAAAGTTTAAATATTTTTCATGCAAACTTCAATTTAGAGAATCAATAGTCAACCCTTGTGCAACGGAACACTAGTGAGTGCCGCGAAAAAAATCAGAAAATTCCTACAATGGCTTTCATGGCTTTTGAGTCGTTCAATTTTGACATCAAAAATTAACGGTCATTTTTCAAAAACGAACAATGGATTTAAAGGAATTTCTATTGTTCTTATATTTCTGACCCCCCCCCTTGACGTCAAAAGTAAACGGCTCCTTACCCATGGCATAAAATAAAAGCGTGCAACATCACTGAACTAGAGAAAGTTGACTTCAAAGAGTCAAATCTATAGTTTTGATCAGAAGTCGAAGTCGATAGGGTTCGAGTCGACTCGAGTTGACTCGACTAAACTCAAAACCGAGTCTACTCAATTTTTCTCGAGTCAACTCGAACTGAACCCCGATTCTACTGGATTATAGAGACCCTGCCCATCTGCTAGAGTTGAGTCGATTTGAATTAAAACAAAATTCGTATTAAACTCGAGAGCTTCTCATTCTGATAAGGATAAAAAAATTACAGTTTCAATGCTAGCAAAAGTAACAAAATGAAAACTTTCCAAATCCTTCTTTATTTGGGTTAATCTTCTAGAAATTTAACAATCAGATAAAATACAAAATGTCATATTTCATTGAATGTTTTCGGGTAAATCTTTAGAGTTCAAAATCCTCTCAAAAAATGCTTTCCTTTTTCTACCAAATCTCTTAAATCCCAACCTTCTGAGTACGTTTACATTACCAAAAAGACATGAAACGATATTTTATAAGCCATAGAATGAACTGCAACAGACACATATAGAATGATAAAAAAACAATAATGAGATATAATACGTGCATAGCTATGCACAAATAATATTTTTGGACCAAAGAGAAAATAAAACAATTTAATTGCACTTGCACGTCCTCATGTCTGTATATGGCATGTGTTCATATTAAGTTATATTAAAGCTCATCCAAAAGAAAAATAAATGAATATTATGACTAATGTGGTCATTTGAGGTTCATTCTAGTCATTAATTCATGAATGAGCTATAAAATGAGCCCTAAGCATAACAAAATCTTGAATATAATTTTAAAATCACATCCATAAATTCGAAAATACCGAAAATACCAAAAAAATATGAAATAATTGAAAAAATCTCGCATAATCAAAATAAATAACATCATAATTATTATAACCTTAAAAATGAAAATAAAGCTATTGTATAAAGAATAAAAACTATTAAAATAAAATATGAAAAGAAGATATAGAAATTTAAATTGTTTTGTATATTTGAATAGGGGCTATTCATTAATGATGTCATTCTCATTTTCAGATTCAATTTTATCTTTCAGTAACAATATTTTAAGGACACATGAATATGCCAAAAAGTTGCAATTATGAGTCTATTTTTAGAACACTTCAGGCATTTTTCTTGAGTCAAATGTCCTGTCCATTGGGATAGAAGCAATTTTAGTTGTGAGTAACTAAAATAGCTGTAGTGGCTCGGTGACGTAATGGTTCAGTACTTCGGTAGTAATTTATTGCAAAGTCTACACAGCGATCATGGGTTCGAGACTCGGCATGGGGAATTTTTCGCGTTTCCTTTTTCAAACCACATGCACTGGAGATGAAGCTCACAGCCTTGCTTTGTAGGGTTCCAGACAGTAATCTCATTAAAGTAGTGAGCAAATTTTTGCAATAAGCAAAAAAGTCCATGCAATCGATGATCTGTTGTGCTTTCCCAAGTTCTCTATGATAGAACCTCGATGTCCTTAATGAAACCAATAATGTCCTGCTTACTAGGGTTAGATACTGAGGAATTTACTTCGAGTAACTTTAGTATAAGATTCCAGTAATACTAGCATGTCCTTGATGCTGAAGAAGTTTCAACGTTCATTAGACTACAACAAAATCCAAAAATATAACAGTCGTCATAGTCGAGTAACTCCCAAATGCCCAACAAGAAGATTTATATTTGTTTAGGGTTTGAAGGTTGCTCTGCTGAATAATAATCACCGCATGCAAGAAGAACAATTTTTTATCATTTTTCACTCGGTTTGTAGTTTGTGTAAAAGGAGGCGTTTTGTGTCTTCCTTTTTCGTTGTCCTATTTAGTTGTTGTCTTTTGAATTTGAGTGACACAGGAAGTTCATGAAAAATATTGAATTGGAATTGATTTTTTAACGTCTGACATGGACAATGCTTTTGGGAGCTTTTATTTTAGTCACGTTTTTGGAAAATTCTTATGGAAAAAATGGTTGGATTGTCTTTTTTTTACTGAATTGGATAATAGCTATTATGTGATCTTCAATTATGATGTTTAAGGAATTGGAATTTTGCTTTCTGAATTTAATTGATAGGATTTTGATTAAGGTTGAAATTTCCAATTGAGTTCATTGATTATTTTATAGCTGTTGGTGGCATCAGATTTGTGGAGTGGAAGATGAGGTATCGAGCCATATAAAGGCGATTCTGCCAGTGCAAAAGTAAGTCCTGTGTGGCTAGGTGGTTAGGCAACAGACCAGATATCTCTAAACCTCTTTTGTGAGGACCTGAGTTCGATTCCCACTCGATACCGGTCTCTCAATCTATTAATAACTCAAAACTACTTATGCAAGATATAATTCGTAATTAAAAGCTTTATGGCAGCTTCTCACTTGCTTCGCACCATCTTCTCATCAGATACGCCTTCATTAACCTCCAAAAATTACACAATTCCAAACATCCATACCCTCGTTACTTCCACTATCTCACAGAATTTAAAAGAAATCATTCTAATTTTAAATGACAAAGGTCTAGTTTCATTAAAATCATTATCAGCATCAGCTCACCCAGAAAATTATCTTCGTAATTAAAACTCATTCAAGATTTACGGCATCAGCATTGTTGTCTCGTTGACTTGACAGTTTAAAATTATAACGATAGAGAAAATCAGCCTTAAAGGAAATCAAATCACGATTCAGTCACCACAAAAAAGAAAATAAATTTTAATTAATAAGAGATGAAAAGAGAATTTCTCATTACTTTATTCATAATTTATTCTTTAGAAAAATTTACAATAGATTCCATCAATTGCATATCCAATCATGGGATGTTTAATAATTATCATCTTAAAGTTGAATTATGGAGTTGGAATGAAAGTTCAAAACTGATTGATTTATCCTACAAATTAAGTAAAAATAATAAATATAATAATAATTTTTTTCGTAATTTTTTCTTTTCTCGATTTTTCTTTTTTTTATTCCTCATTATATTATTTACACGATCACCAATCAATGGGGATGAATTGATTGTGTATGAAAAGATAGAAAAAATATTGAAAGAAGCAGCAGGATAGAAAATAGTTTAAGGAAGATGAAAGATGGGTCGTACACAAATGATGTTTCATGTTTCAAAAGAGGGGTTGGTTTGTTCTAGTGATAGTTGCTCTTTTTAGCTTAGTTTTGGTGTATATTCTAGGGTAAGATCTCAGAATAGCTTTTATAACCCTTGACACAGCCTTAAGCTAAGCTATTAAAGACCTAAGAGTAAACCATTGATTAAAGAAGTTATATCCAATGGTAAATACCATATTTTATGCAAATTCCATTTCTAGGGCTACTCTAGTCCCTTACTCTAGCTACATATAAGATTTGTTCATATTCTAAAGCAGTGGTGACCAACCTTTTTTGTGCCACGACACATTTTAGTCTTAAGTCAAGGCCGAAACTGCACACCACATACGGTTTGTAAAATTTCCCGTTTAATTTCGCGGCACATAGGTTGGTCATCACTGTTTTAGACTAATAATTCTATTTTCAATTTAAGGAGTACCCTAAAAGACTGCTTTAGGGATAGTCCATACCTTTAATTCTCAATAAACACTTGGAATAGTGCAAATTAAATTGAATGACCAGGAACCAGCTCTTGTAGCTCATAACCATTCAATACCAATCGTATAACTAGTTTAGAAGTATAAACGCCCATTTGTTCAATAGACATCATTTGCGAACGACTCCAAAGATGCTGACAGACAAAAATTCACCTTAATTTGTTAATCACAATAATATGCATACAAAATCTTTCAACAGTTATGAAAATTATGATGACGAAAACCGAACAGAATGACAATGATTTCCAGCTCTAAATCCCATAGCCTTTTTTGCTTCGCAATGCAGCATCAATATCTCATCAATTTTGAATCCCTTTGTAGACTTTCTTCCGTATTGACATTGAAATTCCTATTAAGGAATGACATTGAAGAAGATTTTCTTTCTTTTGATGCACAGCTTACACGTGAGGCTGAATAATTTTTTTATTTATTCAACGTCCGAAAAAATGTCGGTTGTTGACGTCTTCCAAACTTTGAATGTGCTTTATGCAAAAAATAGAAATAAATACTAAAAGAATCGCCTGACCTTTAAAACATCGTTGATTCTATTTTTATCATATTTGTAATATTGTTTGCTAGTTATTGGATAGGCTTGGTATTTTTATAAGAGTGGTTTTATTTTTTAAACTTTGCGCCCACATTTTCCAGGTAAGAAATGTTTTTGCTTATAATTTTGGCTTTAGGTGAGAAATTTGTGGAGCTTTAGTGCTTAATCTGCATACAATGATTTTGTGTAGGCTGCAGAAACCTTAAAACGTTGTAGAAACATTTTATTTTCGAAATAATTCTGAATTAATTTTTATTTCATTAATATGAGTGTAGCCAGGGATTTGAGGGGATTCAACTAAGGGGCCGTTCACTTACGACGTCCGACATTTAGGGGGGTCTAGGATTTTGTGTCAGTTCAAACAATGGAAATTTTTTCTATAGAATTTTTGTGACAAAGGGGGGGGGGGGGGTAGGGGGGTCTATAAATCAGGTTTTTTGATGGACGTCATAAATGAACCACCCCTAACCCGAATAGCACAAGTCGGATAATCGAGACGAAGGTGAGTAATTGACTTAAGTGCGAATTTCTCGTCTTGGCATAGGCTTTCGTCTAGATTGTCGACTTGTGCTATTCGGATAGTATCAATTAATCTAGTCTAACAGTCCAAACTCAAACAAAACCATCTTATTTGTATAATCGACCAAAAGCTGTTGTTGATTATTAATCGATACTTTTGGATAGAACAAACTAGTTTCTAAAATTGTCTAGTATCCACAAAGCTGACCTTTAGAATCTACAACCCTTAACATTCATTCCATTCTCAAAGAATTTTCCTTCTCATTAAAAATTAACTGAACCGAGAGAATTCTTTTAATTATCATCATAATTTCCATCAACTGACGTCGTTTTATTTTTTGACAAAAAAAAAAATAATAAAAAATAAAAGATAGAGCTATAGCAAGGACATGAATTGTTTTGTGATAAAAAAAAGTTTTCGTAATATTCATTCGGTACATTAAAAAAAATCACTTTAAGAGATGAGCTTGAATATAGTAAAAAAAAATTATGTACATTAAAATAAAAAAAAATCATATGCAGACTAAAAGTGAAAATTCATCATTTTGGAAGAAGAATTTCTTGCAGTCATCCTAACATCCTCATCATAGTGGAAGGGAAGATAACTTTATGCAGCATCATCGACATATGTATCATATTCAAGCTCGTCCTCATAATACTCTGGCAGTGGTGTTGTTGTGGCTTTTTCTGATGCTTCTGCTGGCTTTGATAGAACATGATCCGTCTTACTTAATATTTTACTATTCTGTTCATTTTGTGGATGATCTTTGTCGTTTACATCAACGGTTGATGAGCGGGAAGAAAATCCTTGGACGTTACGACTAGAAGTTAAAGGTTTCAACATTGGATTTAATGCATCATTCAAATCAACATCATACTCTTCATAAAGGTCTTCCAATGTCAACTTATGAGTTTCTGTCTGCTTCCTGTTGCCGTCATTATAACTTACGTTTTTCTCATCTTCTTGTTTCTCCTGTGAATGCTGTTGTTCGGCAAGAATACCAACAGGTTGAAGACCTCTTCCCTTATATGGACTTCCACCTCGACTGGGTAGGAATGGTCGTTTAATTACCTTTACAGTCGATTTTTGTAGCTGCTCTTTATCGTCAGCTATTGGCTCAGTATCTTGCTTATTGTCTAAATTTCTATTATTGTATGAATTTTGGAAACTAAATTTCTTGCTCGGTATCTCTTGTGTCACAGGACTCTCAAAGAAAGTCTGTTTGTTTGCAAACTTTCTACTGTTGGTATTTCCATTAGGGCTAATTGATGGAACTAATGGTTTTCCATAAAATGCCTGCTGTTGAATGCTTTCTTTTGAGTTATCGTTTTTATATCGATTTAATCGAAAACTATCAGGACTTGGTGCCGCTGTCGTTGTTGTCGTGGACGGTAATAAAGATGATGCAATAATATTTTCATTTCGTACACGACTACTGTACAAACTAGCACGTTCATCTTTCGGTTTGATTGATGATATCTCAATGATGGGCTTTTGCGTTGGCGTAACTGCTGTATCGTAATCTTCATCCTCATACACATATTCGTACACTTCTGCTCCATCATCCACAGAAGCTAAAGTTGTTGTTGTTTTAACTGTTGTTGACAGTGACGATGGCTGTTTTAATTTTGGAAAGGAGAATGCCTTCGTAGTTGAAGGAGCAGCACTTGATTTGGATGTTGTGCTGCTTGTTGAGCTGGAAACTGAGATATCATCATATTCGTAGGAAGCATTTGCATCTTCATTTTTGCCTCCGTCTCGGATATTTGCATTTGGACTTTCCGTAGCTTTGTATGCAAATTTATTCTTCTCACTCAATGGCACGGGTCTATTAATCTTAGGCATTGGTCTTTTACGATCAAAAATAGAGCCAGTTCCAGCTGGTTTCACAAGTTTCTCGTCACTCACTGTCTCTTCTTGCTTCCTCTCACCAGTTTCCGTTGGCTTTCTCTTATTTTCATCCAATGGATTATTCCGTCTGTTATTGTAGTTCTTATTGTCATCGTATCTATCACGTCTATCATCATCAGAGAATCTTCTCTCTTCGCCACGTACTTTATCATCTTGTTGTTGTCGTCTATCGCCAGTTCTTCTTCTATCATCTTCATAAGCTGGACGTCGTCTACTTTCATTATGTGTACCACCAGCACGACGTTCATCATATCTTGAACCACTGTTTCTAGCCTCAGATCGATTACGGTTTCTCATTGGGCGTCTATCATACTCGTAGTCATAATCATCAAAATCATCATAATATGGACGACGAGTTTCACTGGAATGAATTATAGTTATATAAAGTCATGAATATTAAATTTCATCAATATCAGTGTCTTACGGCCTGCGGTTGTCATAATCATCATACATTGGACGACGTTGTCTGGGACGGTTTCGTCTTCTATCTCTTTCTTCATAAACATCATCTGCATACTCATCCTCATAGTAATCATATGGACGACGACGGCGAAAAGGAGGTCTTCTTAAAGGACGAGCAGGTCTTCCAGCATCAAAGTCATCATTATTGGTATTTTTATTGTTGATATTTCTATTATTACTATTATTGGTACTTGCTGGTGCATCTTTATTACTACTCGATGACTTTTCTGAATTCTTCTGTGGATCATTATTATTGTTTTGGGGACTATTGTTATTATTATTGTTCTGTGTTGATGATTGGCTATTAAGGAAGGAATATCTCGTTCGATTATAGAATCCTCTATCGATTAATGGCACTAAACCCGATAAAGATGTTGTTGATTTCTGTGTTGTTGCTTTATATAAATCATCGTTCCTGTAAATAAGAAAATTGTTTTCATTTCATTACTCATGATTCAGAGATGTAGCCAGGGGGGGCCTTAAATCTCTTGCTATGTCTCTGACATGATGAACAAAAATTTTACATTGCCTCATTGGAACCGACGAGCTACATACCTACTCCAATATCTGTGTGAGTTTTTACAATCAACTTCTGACACAAAATGACAAATGAATGTTTTTTGGTCGAAGGCTGTAAAATTTGCACATATAAAATCCGACCGTACTCCATAGAGACAGTGATGATACAGCTATATATAAATATTGATACATGAGAATGAAAATTGGCGTAAGAAATAATATTACGGTTCAATCACCTGACAACCGAATTTTATTGATGCATAGAATCCATTTATCTTATCGTCACAATCAAAGCCTATATCCTCCTCGGCTGGCATTGAATCCAAAAACGGATAGGTTGATAAGTTGAATCTGAGTTGTTTTTGATTTTTTGTTTGATTTTCGATTTTGTGGAAAGAAGAAATGAAGAAGAAAAAAAAGATGACAAAAAAAAGTTTATTAAGAGACAAAAATAAAATGAAATCAAAGTTGATGCTGAGGTAGATAGAATGAGATTTCAGATGATTTCATTCTTGTAGATTTGGTGCTTTATATAATATACAGAAGGAGATAATGATGAATAAATTACACATTATACAGCAATCGATTAATTTTTATGTGTGGAGATTAGCAAGATATGATTTAGAGGCATAATTTGAATTAGTTCTTGAGAATCGCACTCAAATGTCATTCAGTCCATTAACAAATTTTGCATGCCTACTTCTGTGACTTAAAAATCTCTAAGTTCAACTTTATTATATTTTTAAAAAATTACTCACGAAATGGACAAATAAAGCATTTTATAAGGTTCTGTAGGATGTGACAAATGGTCAATTTATTTATTTTTGACTTTTCAAAAATTGAGAACCACACATTTTTCTGATTCCTTATAAATATTGAGGACAGAATTGCTTGTATAATAATTTTTTATTCTTTAATATTAAATGAACTGTCAAATATTCCCCGTTAGAGTTGATTCTCCAAACTTAAAATTGTTTATTCAAAAAGGAATGAATGAAATCATCTTTAGTCAAGAAATAAATGCAAAGTTTCGAGAACTGCTAAGCCAACCTCATTTTGATTGTTTTGTATGATTCATTTATGGTTAAAAATTTGTTCAAATTGATAAAAAACTGAATTTTTTTACAGATTTAAAAATTAAAATTTTCTTCCACCTAAGGATTTTGATCTTAAATTTTGGATTAATTACGCTTCTATTTTCTTTCTAAATGTTTGTAAATTGTTTAAAAAGTGTGAGCAAAGCATTTCACATCACATTAGTTGATCAAATCAGCTTGAATATTCCAAAAACTTTAAAGATTATAAATGGAAAATTTTCATTTTCGAAAAATTGCAAACAACAAAAGTGTGGGAAAGTTCTCAAACTTACAAAAATTTGAAAAATAACAGCTACTTAATTTTGAGCTGATCAAATGAACTCTACCTTCTGCGAATATTTAATCAAATATTAACAACGGTTTATTTTAACATCAAAATAAGACCAAAATAACCATAAACCAAATTCCATTATCGAATATTTACAACGCATTCAACAGCATAAAAATATAAAAGTAAAAAAAAAAGCCATAAAAAATTTACCCATTTAATTCTCTCGGCAAATTTGGATCCCATACATAATCGATTTGTGGTATTCCAGTAAAAACTATTTTCGTACCATTCGCATCGACAGGCTAAATACAAAGAGTAGAAAATAGAGTACATAAAAATATTAAGGTACACAGTTTTATGGAACGGAAAAAAATAAATATAAATTTAACAATTTTTATAACAGAGTATTAAGTAACAGCAGCAAAAATGCACATATTGGTCGAGGGAAATGTTGCAATATCCAATCCATTCAACTACCGCACAGGTTTAATAGTTTTAATCACTTTACATTGTTCATTGTTGCCAGGAAAAATAATTTTTTATTTCATGGACATAAATCTCATGTTTAATCCTTTTAGACATGACCAACTTTCACCGTCATATGATGCTGCATAGTAAACAATTTCTAATACAAATGCCTTCCTGCCTGTGCTCACTTGTTGTCAATTATTGGTCAGTTGAGTTGATAAAGCTTTCATTAATTTCACATCATTTTGATTGAATCATTAATCTACATTTTCAGCTTCACTAGTGTTCGACACATATACGTGAATAAACTGCAACAAAAGCTACATTATGGATGAATGGATGTTAGTGACACGTACATTTTATTTTATCGACAAATTTACACGCTGTAAAAACATTGTAAAAAATATATATTTTTGTAGGTGTGTTTGTGTATTTTGCCGATTGGAAATACATCAAGTTGACAGTGAGAAGCTAGCATAGTTTTTACGGTTGACCTATTAACCTTTGCTAATATGTGCTGTTGAAAAGTAGCGATGATGAGGTCACTTGTGCTTATCGAATATGCATACATTTTATGTTGAGGGTTTATTCTTTTTATAGTTGAGGTAGGAATATATGGAAATGATGATTCTTGTTCTTTATGACTTTGAAGGCTAGGGGCCGTTCACTTTTTACGTTCGCCTTTTAGTGGGTAGGGGGGGGGGGGGGTTTAAAAAATTGTAACAAAATGTAACATAGGGGGGTGTCAAAAAGTATGTAACGTTCTAACTGTCGTCTGTTTTTTAAAATAAAATCTTTCAAAATAAAATAAATTATGAACGTTCAGGGGGGGGGGGGGGGGGGTTGTGAGTTTTAACATATTGTAAGTGAACGGCCCCCTAGTGTACTTAAGGCTTTGCCGTTGAGATTTGTAATTGTACTAATCTCTTGAGTGATTTTGATTAAATAAATATTTAAGGCTTGCATATTAATGAAACGATGCTTATTGTTTGGAGTTTAAGAACTGAATATTTGTATGAAAAGGTGCAAACAACTATGTTACTATAAATATTATTCAAATCTCAAATGAACGTTATGACACTGAGTGTGTGCTTTTAGTCATGTGGCCTTTTTAAGATTGATGTAGCTTACTTCACTACCGGGATAGAAGAACTATTTGGAAAATATTGTACAGTGATTGGTTTTCCCCCTGATTTATCAAAACCAGTAAAAACTAATTAAAGCTGCTACTCTGTTATAAAAAGTCGCACCTAAATCAAAAACAAAGTCTGTCCACTTACACCGTCGTCATCCTCTGGTACCTCATCTAATGAACTCGCTGGTGTTGTTGTCGTTGAACTACTGCTGGTTGTTTGATTATTTAGCTTTGAATTTTTTCCCGCATGAATTAGCGATGTTCCTCTAAGACCATCAACTTTCACCACTACAAACACAGTAAGTGCTGCAAAAAAAATAGACAACAAATTAATCTCTTGAATATTTGTCATTGATGGCAGATTGCATGAACAAAAATGGAAATGAATGCAAAACATTTCCATTTCCATTGAATTTCTGCTTTTATGCTTCTTTTTGAATATTTTATTAGAGGCCAAAAAAAATCTTATTATGCTGTCTAAATATATCATCTATATTTAATAAATAATATTATTCATGTAGTATTGTCTACCGTCCGAGAAACATAATTCAAACGACCTTGTCGTGTGCTTTGCCTTTTTCTTTCTCTTTTTCTCTGTCTTACACGCAGCACAGAGAAGTCGTGAAAGATATTAACAGTGTGCGTATATATAGACGTGTGATGACTACTTTATAAACTGGTTGTTACATTTCGAGTCTACTGAATTCAATAATAATCATGTTGACTTATTTTTTATTTGTGAGAGACTCGATTTGCTTTAATTAGTAATAACATATTGAGCATAAATTGCGTACCGTGTGATTTTTAATTGAATATTGATTTTCAATTAATTAACTTTCACGATTTTTCCCACAAGAAATTGTAGATGTGATCAATAAATTAGGTTTCTGTTTCAATGACATAATAGAGTGTGAGGCTGATTAGCTTGTGAATGTGACATTTTCTGAGTGGTGCTAGGTGGGAGTTTTGGAATTTCTCATTTACTTTTTAATCAAAATGTTTTTTTTTTGTAAGTTGAAAGTGGCAATTAGGTTTGAACGGTTGAATAATTTAAGGCATGACACGTCAGAATTTATAAAATTTTTGGAAGTGGCTTGTTAAGCCTTGAAATTTTTAATGTTTTAGAATTTTTTAAAAGTTCTTAGTCTAAGGAAGTGGAGATTAATGTCAAAGTTAAAATTTCACCAAAAATCTTCAAAATGGCTAGGTTTTTCGGAAAGCCTTACTACTAGGCTTCATAGGTACATGGTTTAATTGTGCTTTTCATCATTGTGGGGTCGGAGCAAATTGTAATCTAAGGTATTGAGGCATATATAGGCTAATCTGCTAGTGCGAGATTTAGAACTCTGTGGCTCGGGTGGTAAAGCAACGGACTTTATATCTTTAAATCAAGGACATGGGTTTGATTCCCACCAGAGATTTTGATATGACAAAGAGCCCTACAATGCTTCTAGATTTCTCTTAAAGCCGTTTTCTTAAAGATATGCTCCAAGATATCGCACCTTAATTTAAAATCAATCCTAAAGGAACAGCCACGAAGAAAAATGGTCCGAAATTTTCCATCATCAAGACCATTGACCGTAAATATTTTCAGAATCGTCTCGAATTTCCATTCATCTTTTATGAAAAAAAACAATTCAAGATAAAAAAAATTCCCAGAATAAATTCCGATATCACAAGCATATCAAATTGCGTCATTGACAAGCACAATCTCGTTCTTCTTTTTGTCTATATTACATGCTGTAGGTGTAAACAAATCAAAAAGTTAATCGTTATTTTTTTTCCTCAATGCAGCATGTAGAAAATCCTACACTTGAATGAATTTGAAAATAATAGAAATTTTTACGTAGAAGATGCAATTTCGAATGTTCAAAATTGATGTGATGAAAGTGTCTGCATCAGTCTGCATATAAAGTCTTTTTTCTGAAATTGACACAACCTTTTATAATAAAAATCAAAAAAATTCATCAGAAAATCAAATTAAATTTTTTTTTCTCTATTTCCATCAATTCTATTAATATCATCAATAAGATGCCTGACGTATCGCATAAATTCACGTCAATTCGAAGTCGATTTTTTACAATAAACAGAACTGCCAATTAAAAACATAATCCAGATCTCATGCGAAAATTTATTCTTTATTCATAAAAATAACTTACCTGTAAGTATTAAAATCCATCGTCTGTATTTCTTCATGTTTATTTAAATAATAATAATGTGACTATTGTAGCGTTAAAGTATATACACTCATATACACAATTTTTTTGTTGTTGTTGTGTGCCAGGTGATCTAGAAAAATCATAAGAAAGAGAAACAATAGAGCAACATGCTTGCTTACGTAATACAATAAGGTTTATGACATTGATACAGTATGCGTGACATATCAATAATTTCAACATAGAAAGTGCGAAAAATTGCACATAGAACACATACAGACACAAGTATAAAGTAATGATATGGTTTATACAAGAAAAAAAGTTTATTTATTGCCTATTTAAAATGCGGAAGCTCAAAACAAAAGTAAACATAACCGAGTAATGAATAAAACTGGTAAGAAATGTCTGCATTGATAAGGTATGAAAGTGCATTTCTATTGGTAGCAAGACATTTTATTATAATCGTACTTAAAAAGTTTTACACATGCTCGCTCGGATTGCAGTCAAGTTTGATTTTCAACTAGGAACCTTAAGATCTTTCGTCTGTTTCTCCGGCTACATCGAGTGCTTTACTCCAGGAACAAAATGAATTAATTCTGGTGATTGTGACTACAGCAGGACACTCAAGATTGCTTAAGAAACTGGTCCTTGTTTCCTTGAGTTTATCTCTGCTTTTAGAACTGACACAGACTCAAGAGACCAACCCCTTGTATCAAATTGTACAAATTTCAGTTTAATGGTTTCTTTAGGGATTGTTCAGTATGCAGAATAGAAGCTTGTTAAGTTAGAACTCCTGCATTAGCTTACAAACTATAAATCATGACACAAGTGACTCAGATTCTGCCAAAAAAATCAAAAAACACACGATAACTCAGTGATGAGCATATGACATGAAATCTATCGAGGATGTGGGTTCGAGTCCCATTCTAGCGCATTGCTTTGTCATCTAGAGGTTTCTCTATTCAATGTTCGAGATGCTTCTCCATCAAACCTTTGATATGAGAGAATTTCCTACCTTAGACAAACCATCCAAATAACCAACAAATCCGACAAACTGATCAAACCAATAGCCCCATTCGCGAAGTTCCCAAAAAATGAGTTAAAAGTGGATATATGCAAATTCTCGTTTAAATCATAACCATTTCGTTATGTATATTTAAAGTCAAATCATGTGTGAAGGAGAAAGAAATGAGTATATACATATATATTGGTGGTCCGTTCGACCGTTACTTAATTCTTTGGAAACAAACTTCAATTACTATTTGCACAAACCATTGCAAGACAAATGCCAATTTCATAATAACTATCCGCACCCGCGTTAATATTGATTCGCAATTCCAATCACTGAACGGCTGACTAAAATGCAAATAAACTAATTTTTTGCTCGTCGCGTACGTTTGCTGCAACTTTTTAACATGCACACACGAAAAATGTCCCGTGAAAGTGTCAGTATGATTAATATTTTTTTTCTCACTGATACGTGACTTGATGTTCTGACAATTGAATATTTTTTTGGATTCGACTCGAGGTAGACATGATTTAATAGAATTTGGTTATAAACATTTTGTTTGTGTCGAGGTGAGAATGAATGCACAAAACAAAAATGACATCTTTATCTATCTCAATTTACAATGTCGCACTGTCAAGGATGAAAACAATTTCATGAGATTCCTTTATTTTATTGTGGTGTTGTATAATATTCATGGTTGGTTATTGCGGAAATATAATCCCGAGCAGTAAAACTTAGCACTTATATCATTATCATGTCGTCTGGAATGCAGCAAATTGATTGTGACTGCTTATTTTATAAAAATGGCAAAACTTGAGAATGAGCCAGCTTTTAGGGATACCAGATACCTTCCATAGTCACAATCTAATTTTCTTTATATCCCAAAATGTAAGACATAGTTCATTAATCATATGGTAAGTTACTCTGAGCAGCAATAGACACCAACAGCAGAATTGCATTTAATGACTCCAAAAACCAATCAAACCCTTTAATTTCTATCAAAGACACTTCCTTGAATATTAATAAATCACTAAAATTACACTCAGCTACACCCACACATTCCTTATATCCAACGGGAATTCAATCTAGTCACATAACATTCTGCGATGAACGGATTTCAAATGTAAATGTCACTTAAAGTCATTTTGTGTTATGTCATGCTGCAGGGGGTGGTTTTTATGGCTGCAAGGGTATCATGTAGAGTCTTCGAAACTGGTTTCAGTATCGGAGTTGAAAATAATTAAGAATTAACCATCTTTATACTCGTTAAGACCCTAAAAATATTAGCTACACCCTTGACATGAACACGTTCTCATAAAATATTATCTAATTCTGTATCACAGGCCATGAAATCAACACGTCAAATCTTTTTCTGATTAATTCTCTAAACTGCTATTGTTTTATGTTCTGTGAATCCATGCAGACTTGAATTTACAACCAGTTCTTTTGCCGGCTAAAAATAATATACACAGATTTATGCAGAATAATAAGTCCACAACCAGAATTGTCATCATTTAAAATTCATCACGCAATGTCCAGTTTCCATTCCTTGTAGTTTTCGTATACAACTTCACATTTGGCATATAAAGATTATTGGTCATTATTGAAATGTAGCCAGACTAAGCTTCTATTTGACATTATTCTTTTGTGCTTTGACTTTGACTTTTCTTCTTAAAACTACCAATAAAAGACATTCAAGATTCTCTCATTTTATTTTTGGACGAGACATCCATTATGGCATAGACGATAATTAACGATTTATAGGAGAATAAAAGAAGATTCCGATGAATTTTTTGAAGATTATTATGTCTAATGGTTTGAGATTTAATGAGGGAACATGTAGAACTGAAATTAGTTACAATAAATACGGAAGCGATGAACTCTTAAGAAAGAAATACAAATTTTATTACTTAAGTAATTATTTTTATTTTTTATTGTTAAGTAATTATTGCTGATACCTTTTATAGATGTAATTTATTAGAGATTTAGTGATTATTTATGGAGATTTTAGTGTTTTGGAGGTGATATGGGTTTTGGCTGAATTTTAAGTAATATTGTTGAGGATTTTTTTGGGAGAGCCAATCTAAATATCTGTGCTGGTTTATGAAGTTTTAGAATTTACTTCTCACAAATGCACAAGATACATTAGAATAAAGTTCTGATGCTTGTAGGGGTTCAAATCTTTGGATTAGTCACAAGATTGCATGCTTTTAAATTCAAGGAAACCTTTAGTAATTAGATAAGTTTAAGCTTGTGGCTCACTTTCGAACTGATTGTATGTGTATGATGGATAGCCGAAATTGCGCCTGTACTTTTGTGGCAGAGTTGTATTGATCTCAGACTGAGGTGTTCTCGAGCATTTCTATGGAAGACGTAGGTTCAATTCCCAATAAATCTGAGATGTTCAACATTAATATACATTAAAAATGTAAGTTGGATATATAGATAACTTATCTTTGGTAGATAGCACAACGATTTGGTCATTAAGGTCCGGACTGACTATTTGGGTCCAAAATTGAAATACATAAGAAGCATAAACCAGTTTTGGAAATTTTGGGCCTTGCTCTATGCGATTCTTAAATCACTGGACCACAAACTAACATCCCAACCCTCTTATCCTAGATCCTAACCTTTAAACATCACTAATTCACTAGGTCTCTGAGAGTCTAATAATTATTCACCTCCAAAGATCAAAAACTCATTCATAATCAAGCGCTAGGCACGCCAAACTATCACATTACCCATACACATCGCTTTAAAATTTATATTGTCAAGTGCTCACAATTTTACTCAACAATCTTTTGATGCCATTCAATAGCTAGCTACTATACAAAGCGAATACGACTTCATACTATGCTTCATACTCTGCTTCACACAAAGAGCACCACACAAGCAAGTAAATCTTGAATCATTTTAAAAACCACAAATCAATAAATTACGAATAATCACGCATTACAATTCATTTGAAAAATGTTTTTAGAAAGTTTAATGAACTTTATGGATAGTCGTTAAGCTAAAGCAAGAAGAAGTTTTGTCGAACTTTGAGCAATTATAAAATTTTTTATTTTAATCTTTCTATCGACATAAATTTTAATGCGATTATACATCAAAGAAAAGGGAAAATTACCTTGAAGATAAATTGGGAAGCATTAAGATACGCACGAAATTGTTCCCTGGAAGGAACTTTATTACATGCATAAATCGCTTTACTAAACACATAAATACACGAGAACTTTAACACATGATGCTTTATGCTGTTTAATTTAAGAATATTGCGTACATAAATTTCTGATTTTTTTCTCATTTCCCGTTTCCTAATTGATTTATTATCTTAAAGTTGCTTGTCGCAATCAAGTCGACAACTTTTTGACAAGTTTCCTTTCATCACAATGTCTTGGTGATGTTCAGCATCAAGTAAATCTCATTAAAATTTTGGAAACTTCCTAATTAGAGCAGATTAGAGTGACTAATTAATTGAGATATTTGACAAATTTAATGGAACTTGGAAGTTCCTTTAAATTTAATTTAATTGCTTTACTTTGCTTCCAATTATGAGGCACAAGTGTACAATTTGTTTTGTGAATGTAAGACATTTAACCTTCGTCCATAATCCATTGTGAATGGTACTTGTTTTGTGAAAGTAAATAGGTGCTGGATTTTTAAAAAATTCATAAAATGTTTCTAGAAAATTTGTTATGAATGTAGCAGATCTATGGACTGTGGTTTTACTCATTAACAGAGCAACAAAAGCTGAAAATGTCAATTTCCATGACTGCAACTTTTCATAAAAATTTACCCGAGTAGCACAAGTGGTAGCTTTGTTTGTTGCTGTGTTGAGGACGAAATCATCAGAAAGAGAGACGTTGACTGCTAGGAGCGAGCAAGCGACAGTAAGACTATGACAGCATTGCATACCACTCGGGCCAGTCATTGCAGTTTCCCATTTGCAGCATGTCAAAGGGAATTGTTATATTTGCATTCATTTGCAAACAGAATGGATTGGTTAGCTTGCTTTGTATACTTTGGTATTTCATGTGAAAAGTAAATTGTAAATTTTATTTACAGAATATCCACAAACTATGTCCAGCATGAAAACTTCCAAATGTAATCAATTTCAATCTGTG